CCCCCGCCTATGTGAGATTTTCCTGACCAGTTTCCATCCTTATCCACTCTTCATGCCTCTGCTGTACGTTTGGCCAGTGTGAACTGCTCCTTTTGTAAGCAGCAAGGGCTGATCAAGCCCTCCTCCCACAGAAAACAAACTTTACTTCAGTAGTGTAACACCTGCATCATTTAAAAATCCCTGCCAAGCAGGCGCTGAATATAAAATGAAGGGCAAATGCGTTGGGATGCGATACCCTAGCGTTCTGTTTCCAAAGCAAGTGCTTGTCTCTGGCAGAGTGAAAACACAATGTACAAAGAAGCTTTAATTTTCAATGCATGATTCTAAAAAATGGGCCCAACGTGACCCTAACCAACTTAGAGAAATTGCTTATCTCTTAAATGCTTACTCATCTCAGAAACATGGGAGTCCTTCACCCACATTAGCACATGGGGATTTAACCCCACACATGAACAGTGAAATCAAAATTCCTCCTGCAGAGTGTAACAGAATTATTCAGCCAACAACCACCATTCCTCCAAAAGTGGCTGATTCACAACCAGCGATGTTGGTGTGTGTTCACACTTAAAAAATAAAAGCAGGTTGGCTTAGCTGCAGGGTCAATTCCTTTTTTTCTGACTAGTAAGATATGGGTTTTTTTTTTTTCATAGATATATGAAAAGCAATATATAAATATTGTTAACAGTCATCTGGCTTTACTGAGAATAAATGAACTATAGGTTTTCAGTCAAGGTATTGTCACTGGTGATATTAAACATTGATGTCCAGAATCCATTAGTCTCCCTTGCTGGATAATATTTACCTCTACAAGTAGTCCATTGAAATTATTTCATGTGATGAGATAGGCTTTGATTTAAGTGTCTATCTGGTACCTAAGGAATTGTTCTTCTTGTATTACAGTAAAATATGAGAGAATCAAATTCCTTGTAATTGCTTTGAAAAACTCAGTGGAGGTTTATGCTTGGGCTCCAAAGCCTTATCACAAATTCATGGCTTTTAAGGTGAGTGAAACTTCACTTCGGTTCAGATGTATCACTGTCTCTCACTGTCTCTCATCTGCTCTTTGCTTTTGTTTTTTGTTGCTTTGTATAACATTTAATTCTAGTTAAAGATAAAATGAGTATTCTTTTAAAGAAAATGTAGCTCATTTGACATATATTGGAGATGGCAGGCATAAAACTGTCACTCACGATTCTGTTAGATGTGAATAACTTGTTTCAGTGCTGTGCCAAAATGTACATTTGAGTTCACAAAGCTGATGCTGATTCCCTCAAAAGAGGAGGAAATTGAACATGAATGGTACTCAGCCTAATTTTTGCCTCGTCCGTTTCTAGAATCTGGATTTTTTTCAAAACACAGGTGAAATACCCAGCTGTCCTTGCAGCTCAGTGGATGATGGATACTTAGCTCCTTAAATGTAATGTACTATTTAACAAAAATAGCTGTCTAACTTTTGAGTTTTGAAAATTCTTAAGATCATATATGTAGATCTGTAAACCAACAGCTTTATTGTGTTACATAGTGTATTTTTCTTTTTCCAGTCCTTTACCTCACTTCATCACAAACCACTGTCAGTTGACCTGACCGTTGAAAATGGGCAAAGATTAAAAGTCATATATGGCTCACTAGTAGGCTTTCATGCTATTGATGTGGACTCTGGATCTGTGTATGACCTGTACCTTCCAACACACGTAAGATACTCCAAAAAATTACGTAAATGCCTCTGTTCTTTGGGCCGTATGGTGATGATGAGCAGGTTAAGAGTTGGGCTGTATTTCAAAAGACAGGGTAAGAGAGTAATTATTGTATGCCAGCTAATAGAAAACCACTTTTCACATGCTTTTATAACACTGAAGTTCTGTTAAAAAGCTTTTATCACATTTAGAATATCAGTTTTAATGGTTTAATGTCAGAAAGCCTGTTGTATGGACAGTACTATTTTTAATTGATTTATCCTGGAAATTTAGGACTTCTTAAGCAATCAAAGACACAATAATATCTACATGAATTTAGGTGACTTTTACCATCTGCCACTGTGCTTTTCACTCTTGCTAACAAGCTGATTAAATTATCACTGAATTGAGCTGAAATTTGGCCTGGATTACAAAGACTGTCGCAACATATTTTAATCTTGATCCACTGCAAGCATGTGACCCTTGCACCAATGAGTACCTGCAGCTAGAGGAGCCAGTTTATACATGGGCACCCATGAATAATCACAGTTTCTTCACCATGGAACAAAGTTGCATTTGTTTCACATGATTACAGATCCAGGCTCTGTGTGCAAAATGTGATGACTTTGCAGAAACCCAACTTCCCGACTAAATAAATTTGCTGATCTTCTTACCATTCAGTTGCCCGTGAAATCAGTCCTTAAATTCAAAAGAATTTTTACATTTTCCTCAGGATTTTCTCATTAGATTGTCAAGAAGTTGGCATGAAGATGCTGATTTCAGGTTGATGTGTACGTATTGCATTGTGCATCTGTTCATTAAGGTGATGGTGATCACTAAATTCCTGCTTAAACTCAGATAACAGCAAAGGAATTCCCCTGCAGAAGTGAATGCCTGGCATGGGGCTGTCCGACATGAAGTCTGTGCTATGGTTTTAATCTTTTTGTTTGTTTGTTTGCTTATTTTTGGCTGCTCTAGATAGTTCTTTTCAAAGCTGTGAGTCCCAAAAGCCAGAGAAACCTGGGGGCTTAGGTCCAGAAAACTAGCAGGTTCCCATGGCTCCGGTCTGATGGGAGGCTCCTGGCAAGGAAACTTGAAAACCTCCCTGAAGTCAACAGAGGTCCATAGGGGTGGAGGGTTAGCTCATCCGGGTGCCACGGCCTCCTTGTATCCCAAGGCAATGTGTCCCAGAGTTACGCTCAGGAGGTTTGAAGAAATCTCATCCCAGATCTGCATGTTGCAGCCTGTGCCTTGAACCCTTTTATTTTTTAACTTCTTTTTCTCCACTCTCAGCCCCACGTTTTCAAACCAAATGAAAACCCACGCCTCCCGTGCAAGCCACTTGATCACTCTGCTGCCCTGACAAGTGACAGCCTTCAAATTGTGTCAGACCTGTGTTTCTGATGGACACAATGTTTGAGGATGGCTGTTAAGTTTATAAACTTCTCTTAATTAAAAAAATAACTTTTCTACCTGTTTGGAACAAACTGTTGAATCACCTGCTAAAAGCTCGTACTGTTTATTTCTGTGTTGGGTTTTTTTAAGGGACTTAATATTTGTTTTGTTAGAGGGTTTATTTTAATCTGACAATTAGTAGCTTTGTTAACCATGCAACTACGATAAATTCACGTCAGTTTATAAATCTAAGCATGGCCCTGCATACCATCCCTGGAAGCTGGTTGCTAAGCAAGGTGAATAATGACTCGTCAAAAAGATCATTAGCATAATTGCCCAAGATAAGAAGGGCAAAGAAAAAAGTGAACCTTCTTAGAGGCTTTAGTTTTTCAACAGGCTGCAAATATAATTATGTACCTGATGAGAGAGATTTCCCAGGTGACTGTCCTGAATACGTGGGGCACCTTTAAGACAGACTCCATTTGTGTGTGCTCTTCAGCCAAAAGTTAGCATGTACTAAAAATATATTTTCCCTTTAGAGTCTTAGACCTGAAATAAATCTGCTGCTACAGTGGCTCTATCTTTTTCGGTATTTTATTATTTTAAAGAGCATCTGCTAGAATTGGATGATTCTCCCAAGGAGCTTTGTGGTGGCAACAGACCAGACTTTAACAGGCTGACTTCAGATACTCTTGCTTTCTGGTAGCCTCTTTTCCTGGTTCCCCACCTCTTTCTTCATCTCTTACCTGCTTCGATCGCTCATGCGAGTACCAAGGCAACGCATTAAAATTGCTCTGCGACTCTGGATACCCGTTCTAGTGTTACGGATAGTTGTTGCGGAGGCACGGAGTCAAGTGGTTGGCCTGAGTGTATTCAGTTTGGCAAGTACAGCTTCAGTGCTTCTTTTACTGTTTGTTGTGCCCTTACGGTGTGCATAAATGTATGTGCTTGAAGAAAAAAAGATCTGTGTGTTGCTGGCTTGTGAAAATGATGTAGAAACTCCAGTTATATGCTTCCTATAAAAATATTAATCATAGTCGTTTAATTTACTATTTAGCATCCTGTTTTGAGGAGTGTTTTAAACAAGGAAATGCTTTGTTACTGTTTTTTAAGGCTGTCCTCTTTTTCTTTCGAAAACGCTTTCATAAAACCCCACCTTCATGGTTGTATACTTAAGACTTTTTTTTTCATTTGGGACGTGTTGGCTTCTGGGAGAGATTCTAGTGCGTTGAAAGCTGTTAAAATAATTTGTGTGAGTGAAATGCACTGTTCCTGTGGCATGCAGAAAATGTATGCTGAACAGCATTTAAATGTGGAACTGTTCTTAGTTAAGGACGTGGGAAGGGAAGGACAGAGAGTGGCTTGTATTTGAAAGGTCCAGGTAACTTTTCAACTTGCTGTAAATATTGTTAAATTTACAGGTTTTAGCTTGTGAGTGGGGATAGGGAAATATCATGGAAAGTGAAAGCACTGATTTCCTGGAATGTGGAAGCTTTTGTCCTTCCTCCATCTTCTGAAATAATTGTGAATTCAAATTTATTTCACCTTTCTTCTATTTATGTAATGCAAGTGTTTTGTGAGTGAGTAAGTAAATATTATTGTGTCTCAGTGGCTCCATGGCTTCTTGACCAATTAATACTGGTAAATATAAAGTGAAATATTGAATGTTGATTTGTTTGCAAACCTATGGTCGTATTCAAAGGGGGGAGGAGGAGAGAAAGCCTGTTTCGGAGGCTAGCTAGCATACTATACAGCCTTTCTGAAAACAGGCATTTCTTTCACTTTCCATGAGCCATGAGCTAGTTGTTTTTATTGCTCTGCCAAGCTAGTTAGATTGATGTAGTCACTGAAATTGCAGTCCATTTTCTGATATAAATCTTAGCAAAATATGATTCTAGATCCAGGGGACTATTCGCCCACATGCCATTATCATCCTCCCGAATACCAGCGGAATGGAGCTTTTACTCACCTATGAAGATGAAGGCATCTACATTGATATATATGGGCATTTCACAAAGGAGACTGTTTTACAGTGGGGAGAAATGCCAGCATCTGTAGGTATGTATGAAAAATAGCACTTTATTAAATATAAGATTCTGCTGCATGAAGCCTGACTTCTTTATGAGGTTTGTATCCACATGAAAGTGGTTGTATGGCACATAAAGCAACTTCTGAGCAAACCAGATGTGTAAAGAGTAAACAGATTTATGTATGTCTGTGTTAAGACAGCCAATGATTGCAATAGGGTCTTCACATTTGGATCATAGTTTGTATTCTTGTCACACTGTTCATTGCATCATACCTTGACTATACAGCCAAACTTCACTGAGGATGCAGCTTACCACCGGTTTTCACAGAGAGAATTATGTGAATTACAGAGGGAAAAAAGGTGCTCTTGCTTCCTACTTTGATTGTTCATAGCCCATAGCGTTTTATGTAAAAATTCACAACTGTAGGGACGTCAGTTACTGAAGAGGTCTGTAACTGCTGTCAAATGGACCCTTAATTTTATCACTTTAAATTCACAGTGCTGCCAGCCCAGGGTATTTCTAATAGATTACCAATCTCTCCGTGCTTGCAATTGGCTTTGTAGGAGGAGATTCTGATTGTATTGTAACCGGGACAGCTGTTTGTTTCACCTTCCCCAGAGGGCTTCAAAAGTTAACAGTGTGGGAAAAACCAAGAACACCACAGGCAGATTTTTGTTTTTATTATTTGTTGCTTTTAATTTCTTTTCTGGCTCACTCCTGTTCTTCTGCATCTTAAAACAAACATACCAACAAACAAAAAAAGCCCAAGACACTTAGATTGTACAAAAGCATATTAGCTTGGCAGAAAGTGGATGCCACAGTGAAAAATCGAGGATGTTCACCTTTCTCCTTTCACTTCTAGCTGGGTAGTTTTAGGAAAAGTCCATTAAAATCAGTAGAATAACACCCTTGAGTAAATGCCAGGTTTGACATTTGTAGAGGCAAGAAGCCCACCTCTGGAACACAAATCGCTACAGGACAACTTATTTTTCGCACTGGTTCGATAAAATTCAGCAACAAAACTGCTTCAGTTTCAAAAAAAAAACCAGGTATAAGGTTATAAGCTAACTATATAGTGTTTCCTTCGCTTCACTGAATAGCCCTATCTCCAATTTTCAGCCCATATGCAGAGCTACAGGGTGTAATTAAAATGTATCAAGTAAATTCTCCATTTTTCATAGGAATATGTAATGGTCTTTGATATTTTGAAATTTTACATCCTCTCTGAACTAATGTTAGAAACACCATAAGAAATAATCAATAATCAAAAAGCAATTACTCAGCCAGGGTAAGAAGAGTTCTAATGAGAAATATTGAACGTAATTAGAAGCTGCACTGAAGAATGCTATCTGAAGGAGACAGAAGCTTTCAAGAAGCATGTCATTATGGGACGTGCTTCCTTAGGCCTTACTAAAAGTAGCAAGCTCACTTAACATGAACATTTTCTTTAAACTGTAATGTCTTACCCACCTTCTGGTGTGCATATATGATATATGATTTTCATAAATACTTAAACTCTCCTTTGTTTTCCCACATGTACTTCATCGGTTAGAACTCCTTTTTCGTGCCTTGTGAAGAAACAATTTTAAAATCATCTGCATTTATATAAGTGTCTTGCCAGAGATTAACCCTAATCTCATGCTTAATACTTTTTAAACCATGGATGTTATTTGTAACATTTGTAACACTAGGCTTTTCTAGTTGTATTATTCTTAGTATATGCTATGTCCTAAAGAGTCACTGTTACTAGATAGTGTGTTTCAAAGATGGATGATACAGAAGGAACAAAGGACTTTCTTACATCCTGCTTTAGAAGGGGGGATATTGCAAGAAGGGTTGCATAGATCTATGACTCCTGCTTGGAAGTTTGCAGTTTGTGTCACTGGGCACTGATTGCTCTCAAAGCTTTTTCACTTAATCTAGATAGAGTTTGCAGGAAAGAGAGAGCTTAAGTCCTTCTTCCTAATGTTGCTGAAAGTACTGAATCATCAAACCCACAGATATGAGAGAGAGGTTTGTAAAGCATTCTTGTAGCCTGGAAATCACACTGCCTTAACTTCAGTAAAAATTTCCTTGCACGTACCCAGCTGGCATTGAAGTGAATAAAGGTTCACCACTTCAGACCAGTTGAAAGTGTGATCTTTTGTGCTGGTTAATTACTCTAATTTAAAACATCCTTTGGTACATCTGGTTAGGTACGATACTCTCAATTTCTCAAGGTTGATTACATCTTAATAGAAGGAATGCTATTTGGACATTTGCCTTTCCACGTGCTCATGCAGCTATTTCTCCTGTTCTTCAGCACAGCACTATGATAATCATTTGCGTGGAAAGCTATCAGTACAAAATTGCCTAAGCATTTTAGGGCAGTTAAATAGGAAAAGGATGGAGAAGATGCTTCTGAGGGTGGCATCCTGTCTGGTGAATTTTACTATATAGAGATTAGGAGTCATGTCTCTCTGAATAGATTTTCTCTGTAGTCAGTCTAGAGAAATGGGCACCACCAGATGGGAAGGTGGTGCCCGTCCAGGGACAGATAGCAAGGACAGATGTAATGGAACATCCTGCTGAGGAAGCAGAGGGCGAGTTAGATGAAATGGTTTGGATGGTAAGGTTACGAGAGCCAAGTAAACAGCTAGCTCTTTGTCGACCTTCTCCCAGCGCTCAGAAAGCAAGACTCTAGGTTTTCTCTGGAAGGAAAGGTCTGTCTCCATCCATCCGTCTCTTTCGTTGTTTATACTTCCGCAGATTACGCAGCTGAAGGGTGGCAGTCTCCAAACAGCCCCTCTCAGTTGTCATTTGAAAATTTTCCAATATATTAGCTTGAGAACCCTTGTGTTTCTGCTGCTGCTACAGCACTTCTGGTATCTCAGAAAAGGATTTCTTTGGAACAGAAGTTGTTAATCTTTGAGATGTGGTACAAGATTAATTTGACTTCTGATTGGAATCACATTTCCACTAAAAACAAATTAACCCACAGCACACACTCAAACTTTAAAGAAAGAGTTCTGTTAACTATAATTTTAATAATTGTTTCCTACTAGCTCCTATTAATTTTCTTGATCCTTTGAAATTCTTGGCTCCAGACAAAAACATTAACCATTATGAGAGAAGTGTGAATAACTGTGTTATTTGCATGGCCAAACTTAGGGGGAACTTGAAAGTTTCATAAGAGATCCCATTTTCCTGTAATTTCCAGGCCCATTTCAGACCTCCTAAAGCCTGTATGAGCTTATCTCAAAATTTTCACTCTGTGTTTCAGAGATAGAAGGGTCTTGGGTTGACCTCAGAGTGCTCTCTAGTCATCCTTTGCTCACGTCTTGATTTCTTTAAACAATTATTTTGAAAGAAAACTTTTGTAGTTGGTGAGAATATCTTGACTACAAAAAATAAAGAATAGTTTGTATTATAATTGATGGATTTAGGGCAGGGAATCTAAATATAGCTTACTCTCATAGTCTTTAAGTTGGGACCTCTGTGACTGATCTGTTAATAAGAAATTGGAGAGAGGAAACTCAAATCCTGTGGGAAATTAAAATTGTAGAAGTACTCTGTGTATGTTTAGTCTGAAAGATATTTCACATATGTAGGGCTAAATACAAATATAGCTGTAATATTTTCTTTCTATAAAACAGGATTAAAAAAGGGTTTAAGAAACATCAAGTTAATAAGATTTGTGAGCACTTTTGCCCTTTTGTGTGAGTAATGAATTATTTACAGTATGTAGTCTTAGAGGGTTGGCACAAAACTGGATATTCCTGGAGTGGTGAACCAATAAAAGTCCTTATTTCCTTTACCGTGTACATATTAGAAGCAAAAAGGATGTTATGTAGAGAAACAGACAACATTAGCAAAAGGTGGTTGAATTACTGCCTCAGTGCTCGATCAACGTACTCACCAGGTCTTGAAACAGTTGCTGTCCAGCTCATGCACAGAAAATGCCTGCTCGTATCTGAATGATTCTGGTTGGTCAGATCTCCTGTGCACTTTTCCCCCAGGAAACAGCAAAAATCCTTCAAACAAGCAAACTGTCACGCCAGATACATTTCTGGGTTGGGTTATCAGTTCTACTGGAATAATTACAAAGGAGTGAGCAAAACTGGGAGCAGAGAAGCTTTGGAACAGAGATGCAGATGTGTTTAGGGGAAAAAAAAAAGATTTAGTCATAAATTTATTCGTACCTCGCTTGGGGTGGTTAGGGAACTGTATGTGTTAGCCCTTTGTCCCGTGCAATCTAACCAAAACATACAGCAGAACAACACCTGCTTTCCACGGCCAATTTCTTAATTCATCCATTTATGACTTTATTCAGCCTTAGGTTTTTTTTCCTTCTTGATTTTGACTCTCTAGCCTCTCTCATTTAGTAAAAGTTCTCCACAGCTGTGACTGGAGGAAGAAAAATACCCACTTCTATCCAGGTAATATAAATAATAGCAGAATTGCACAAGAGAAGTTACCGACTCCTTCCTTCCTCAGTTTTCCTACCCAAAATTGCTTAACTTTGGGGGCACTAAGTTTTAAAGCATGGGCAACAGACAGAAGTACATGCAAGTAGCTAATCAGTCCCCAATCAGTGATCAGCAGCATCATTGGAGAGCTTGTGGCTGGGTTTCAGTGGGAACAAGCTTTGCTACATCACAGGACACTGTTGGTATCTCTGTGGGTTATTTCCATTCCCAATCCTCGACATGTATGTCTCCCTTCCATTTGTCTATAAATAAATAAATAAAACATGCTTTCCCCAAAGAGTGGGGAACCAATAAAAGTCATGATTTCATAGAGCATGCTGGGTTTGACTGAAGGGCCAAAAAGGGTTCTGTAGAAGTATACTCGGTTTTAAGATCTGTATGGTCTCTAATAGCTGGTATCTTTTACTGTCAGCGAAGTCATCACTGGATATTCTCCTTTTAATGTTTGTGCCCAGCTGCATACTTGCCTGTATACAAAAGCAAAATTCAGTAGCTTTTTTTGCATTGAATTTCTCCTATGTACATACTGACTATCTCCAAAAAGGAATTCAGTGTACACTCTCTTTTATCATGTGAAATGGAGTTTGATATCATGACTCGGGCATGCAAAAGTGGGTCAGACTTTTAATTCATGTTCAGTTTGTTCATTTCGAACTTCTTGGTTTATCTGGAATCAGTTGCCTGGGGAATTTTTGGAGTCTCCGTCAGGTCTTTAAGTTCAGGTTAGACAAACAACTGTCAGAAGTGATACTGATGTGGCACAGAGATACAGATGGAAGAGAAGGTGCATTAAGGTCCTTTCCTGCCCTATTTCTGTAACACTAATCAGAAAAGCCCAATTTTACGGTATTTTGCTAAAAGCTGGCCTGATTCTGCTCTCATGCAGAGGTCAATTGGGAATAACTGCTTAGGGCAGTGAGCCAAATTCAGTACATGAGATCAGAAACGGGATTTTTGAAGTGAAAGAGTTTAAAAAAGAAAAGAAAGGTTAAGAAGGGAAGTGAGATTATAGCAGTACCTGGGTTCTGTGGTACCAAGTGCACTTATCTCATTCAGACTGTGAGCATGCTGCTGGTATGTGACTGAGATCATTAGCTCATGTCAGTGACACTTCATAGAAGTTAATGGATCCAATATGGCTCAGTAATTTCTTTCACCTTTCCTATCTCCCTCAACCATTTCCCCTTGAAGCAGTCACTTCCCTGAATGGGAGCTCTACTCAACTTAATGTTAATACACAGTGTAAACAGGAAATACCAAGTCTCGCCCCAAGTTTAGAGCATTGCTAATGCTTTCACGATGTTAAGAAACTGATTTTGAGCTCACTTTGCTATACTAACTTTATAGCATATATTCTTTGATGTCAGGGGAGTAATGCTGGTGTAAATGGTGTAACAAGAACCACAGGTCATGTACAACTGTAAGTCTTCTAAGATATGTGGTAATCTGGGTGAAGCAGGGGAGCTTCAAGTAACTGAATAATTTTGTTCTAGTATGTTAAGCAATATTGGCACATCAGTCCGAGTCAGTATCTGCCTTTTCTGCTGAGCTACTGTCCAAAGGACCAGAGTGGCTAAGTCTAGGGTTGCTAGAAACCAGTACAGTCTTGCATTGTGTGCAATATAAACACCGTTATATGTTGCCAGCTGGAAGCACAGGGTATTTTTTTCTAAAGCTTGTTGAGGTGGAAAGTGGACTCAAAATAACTGCTCATGGTATAGGAGCTTTTGTTCCAGAATAAGACAACTTTATTCTGAGTATCTAATCAGCTCTCAATTCATTTCACATGAAACATTTGTAAATGCTCCCACATGGGAAGATTATCAAGACTCAGTACTGACCTTTGAATTCACAGCCTGCTATCCTGCAAATTAATTTCCATGTATAGATAAATCCTTCTAACTGGACAACCCCACAAATGGTATAATGGGGCCTTTTTGTTGGCATGGTAAGAACTTTTTGATTCTGCTACAAGAATGAGTTTTTGTGCTACTTGTACTTCAACCGAAATTTGTCATTGTCAGTTGACAAATTCTCAGTATCTTGGCCGGCCAGCAGAGCATCAGTCGCTGAACTTGGTATATCTGTTTTATTATATTCCTATGGTAATACTGCTTGGAGATCAGGTTTCTTCTGAACATAGCAGTAGCGGTCCAGTCATCCAGGGCTTTCTATCCCGGATGACCTAGAGGTTGCAACAAAGCCCAATTAAGCTGTTACTGAGAGCTGCAAGGATGCTATCGAATTGAAATCTGCCAAAGGCATGGGTACAGCTGATACAGACATAGCATATTGACAACTTGACTGCAGGTTTCAGCTAGTGGAAAAGCTAAGGAGACTTATGAGTGGATTAGGTCTTTGTTGCTGGACCTATATGACCTATACTAAACAGTGTAGCCATAGAATGCTTTCATGCTGTTTATATGTACACACCTGCCTTGCTGTCCCACTCCCCAGAACCATAGTGTGCCTCTGTCTCTGTTGTGTTCAAAAACAAAGTTTGAAAAGGTTAATGTTACAAAAAGTAGCAAATGTCTGAGTATTGTGTAATTTTTTATCTTCTTCACTTTATGTGTGGTCTGGGCCTACCTTTTTAGATACTAACTGCACATTGCATGGGTGCTGCCTTGGTGCTCATCATGCTACTGCTGCGGTGATTCAGAAATGTCAATGACAGTCTTCCTCGCAGCCTACAGCAGCAGTGCCCTGTTGTACAGCCTAGGAACTGAAGCATAAAGAAAAGATTTAAAAATGTATTGATTTCAGGTGTTTGATTTTTAGAAAATACCCCTCCCTTTTCTTCTCCCACTTATCCTCAGATGCTCACTGCTGTTTTGCTTTTCAAACAGGATGGTTTCTTCCTCTTTCCACATGACTGGGATGCTGGGAAAGAATTTTCTTGCTCTCAGCTATAGTGGCAGGGAAGCCTTCAGTGTGCACAAAGAAAAACTGAAAGGAAAGTATACTAAACAGATTTAGGGGAAATTTGTAGACTTTGAAGGAACTAAAATCACAACATTGTAGCCAAATCACACATGTTTCCAAGGAGGTATAATTTTCATACACTTGTTCTGACAAGAATTATAAAGCAAGGATTCCAAGTTAATATTAAATCAAAAACTGCTAGGAGAAGGATACACAGTCACTCAGGCATATTGCCTTTATTTTCTGCTGTCCTTCTTAACTAGGATCACAAGGCTGTTGCTTCCTATATCGGTGTGTACTAAAAGTTTGATTTTTAGACAAAAATCTAAACCAACGTGGAAGGTTTTAAGGAACAAACATTGCTCTAATGTTGCTACTAATAATGTAGGGCAAGCAAGCACTGTCCACTGAAGCTAAAAACCAGTCAGATGCACACATTCCCTCTACATCATTTCAGAGCACCAGAATTCTTGGACTAATGAGATAACAATTCATAGTTGAGCAAAAAGAAAAATTTCTGAGCATTGACTATCAATAGAGCATAACTAATGCGGTTTTACCTTGGAAGCCCATACATGCACTAATCAGAGGGCTTTCACTGAAACTGTGCCTGATTTGAAATCTGTGGTGTTAACTCCTTCATCACTATTCCGATTTCTCATCTAATTGCCAGATTTAAAGGGAGTAACATCATAGTAAGCTTCCACAGTGCTAAAGTACCTTCTTTTGGTTTTGGAGATACTGCATGTAACCAGTGACGGGAAGACAATAGCTAAGGACACCAAATTAATCATGCCATAGTCTCAGATTCAAAAGAATTTAGGTTTCAGACTAAGCTGAACTCTGTAGTAAATACAAACCCAACTTCCTAATGGGAGGGTATAGAGAAGACAGTCAAAACTTTTCTTGGACATATACAGTGAAAGGATGAGAGGCAAAATGGGCAGTAGTTGCACAAAGAGAAATTCCAATTAGGTATTAGGAAGAAATTTTTAACCTTGAAAGTAGTGATGCATTGCAGTAGGGGCTCAGAGAGGTTGTGAAATATCCATCAAAACATGTCTGGACAAGGTTCAGAGTAACCTTGTCTAATTTGGCCCTGCTTTGGGGGCAGGGGTTAAACAAGATGCCCTTCAGAGGTTTTGTGATTCTAAAATATACAATAATAGCACACGTAAGATTTACGTCTAGAGTCCAAAATAAGTCTGAGAGGAGAAACTGAAGTTTAGTTACTGTTCCCAAGGCTTTTTGTATAAGCTTAAAATACAAATAATTCAGAATATATTGTTATCAAAGAGAAATGCTTCAGATCCATGTTGACATAAATGAGGCAAGAATCCGTCTTTCAGCTGTTAAATACTATCAAATCTTTTTTTTTTTCTTTTTTTTTTTTTTCTTTTAGCTTACCTTCAATCTAATCAGGTCATGGGCTGGGGAGAGAAGGCAATTGAACTACGCTCTGTGGAAACAGGAAATCTGGAAGGAGTATTTATGCACAAGAAAGCACAGAAGCTAAAATTCCTGTGTGAAAGAAATGACAAGGTACAGAGATGACTAGAGTCTGGGGATTTAGCAAAAATGAGTAATAGTTGACTATGACTCTGATTTTAACTACACTAATTAACTACAGTTAATTTTTCTAACTTTGTTTTTACATTGGTTATGTCTTACCTTAGTATAACTTCCCCATTCAAAGCAAATGTAGTCACTGACCCCACAAAGCACTCGCTATGGATATTCCGCACTTCCACACCACCCTACTTTAGCCAGCTCTGTTATAACTCCTACTCCACCCAGCCTTAACTGATATCAGAGGTGATAACAAATACAGACATTGCTAACTGGCCAGACTCCAGCACAACAGGTGTAGTGGGGAGGGCTAGTGAGCCAGCCCTGATAACGCCCAACTACAGGACTGCCTCTCCTGGGCTACTGAAATTACAGGCAATTCAGAGCAGCTATCATGGAAAAAAACTCCAGTGCTCTAATTAATTTGAGATATTGCAGGCACTAGAGTATGGATAATCAAGCATGATTTCTTGCATATAGCAGTTCTTGATAAATGTTCTGTGAAACCTGCTTAGTCCCACTGACATATTTAGAAAACTGGGGCCCCAAAACTGTTTAATTATTTTAAAATGTTCTCTTGGGTCTTTCCAAACAGGAGAAGAAATATACTAAAATATGTATCCCAGTTGTACCACAAGCACAGTTTCACTTTAAAAAGTTTTTCATAGGATTAAAATTGAATTGTGATATATATATATATATATACACACACCCCTTGTATTTGGGACTGTGGCATTCTCTCAGATTTCCTGTATGGGTAAAAATATTCTCATAAATGTAAACTGACAGTAGCATATCTTTTTTTTTTTTCCCTTTCAAGGTGTTCTTTGCATCTGTACAGTCAGGAGGCAGCAGTCAAATATACTTTATGACTCTCGGTCAAAATATACTATTCAACTGGTAAATCACATCAAAATGAAGGATGCTTTGAAATTCCCTGTTAGGTAGCGGTATAAAATGCTTGGAGGTAATATAGACAAATTTGCACTTTTTACGTACAAAAATTGTGTCATTATTAACTTACCTAAAATTCATATTCTTTCAGCTTGGAAAGAATTCCATTTTCCTGTCAAAGTATTGCAAACGTGTTTAGTTTGTCTTCTAAAATATGTTGCAAACCAAGATTGTATTCACAGTGTTAGGAGAGAACAACTTTAATGAAGAATGTAGCCAATATAAGAAACTCCTGTACTCTGAAAAGTGTACAGTTTCATTTTCACAGATGATGCAACGTTGTTATCTTGAACTGAAGTCTCTTTCTTTTTTGGACAGCAACATATGTAGGTAGATATAAAAACAAACAAATTGGGTGACAAATTGGAGTCTACTTTATTTTGAATTGGGTTTTGGCTTGTTTTTGCATTTCAAGCAAGCTGTTACTGTTTCACAAAGACTCACTTGTCCAAGTCTTATAATCAGTGAAATAGCAACTGTTCATGATGGGGCCTAATGCAGACTGGGATGCTTGAGGGATCGTATCCTGTGCTAGGTAGACAGGTGCATTTCACTGCAGAGTTGTAAAAGCAGCTACTTCTAGACATGTGCCCTATCTGGTAGATTTTACAAAATGCAGGGGACAGACTTCATGTTTCTCTCAGGGCTGGATGCCTGAGCCCATAGACACAGTTACTGTAGAATGGATTTGTAAAAATAGTTTAAATAGTAGTCTGTCAAAATCATATATGCATAAAGCATTATGGGCCTGAACCTGTAACTTCTATTCAAACACGGGACCCACACTCATATGAGTTGATTTAAAGGCACTACCCATGTATATAAGGGCACAGGATCAGGCACCTTCTTTTCTTCCCTTCTTGCTCTTTCAGCATCAAGTCTTCATGTATTTGTGTGTAAATATAATCTTTCCACAATGGATGTTAAGATTAACAAATGTATTCTTAATATAGTTATGAAAATATCCAAAGAGTTAATCTATTATAAATAGAAAATATAAATAATTTCAGGTGCTTTCTACGCTAATTACATCTAAACAAAGCTGCATCCACTAGTGTTATTGGTGCCAGTGTTTCTGCATAAACTCTGTTCTCAGGGGCTTGTAACTTGGCCATAAAACTATACAGATATAATATATATGTACACTATATATAATCATATACTATGATTAAATTTTAGGGTTTAATGCAATCCTCATTTAGCTGATTTTTGGATGTGCTTTGGAAATGTAAAGCATCAAATGTAATACAAAAGAGCTCATTCCAGACATGATACATATGGATGATGCTATAGGCAAAAGTGAAATCGCTAGCTACAGTGTTTGAAAACTGGTATTTTTTACTTGAAATATGTGATACTGAAAGGTGCAGGGGAAGTGTGTTGGAATATCTGGTCGTCTACCTCAAGGCTGGTGGTTCAAAGTTGACTAAGAAGGAGAGAAATAAAATTGTTGAAACTGGTAGCTGTTTTGTACTGTGTGTCAGGTTAAGTTAGTGTTAGCAGTCATGCTGTGACTGACAGGTGCTTAGATTGCAACCACCAGCTCCAGAACTGGTATCCTTGTATATGTCAGCAGAGAATCAAACTAGGGGCTAATCACCCTCCTCCCCCTTCCCCGTGTTGGCACCTCAACTGCTGCAGGCAGATCAGAGATGCCCTACACTGTTGCTATCTATGTTCTTTGGCTATGTGGAGGACTGCGCTTTCCAAAGTTATTAACCTAGCACTTTTCAGGAGTACTGGCTTATCTCAAAATGTGGAGTGTTTTTTATGAAGTATTTTCCTTTCAAATGTTTTAACTTACAGAAGAATAAGCCTAAGGCCATACTAAAAATATGTGCAGTTAAATATTCAAAGTGGTTCTTAATGTATGCAAGTAATCGGCTTGTGTGCAGACTTGAAATCTGAATGGTATACTGTGCTCGGTTGGAGCTGTGTGAAAACAGGAGGTCTCCGTCTATTTGTAGTAATGCTCCTACCTGTTGCCAGTGCTAGGACTGGGGCAAATGAGCAAAACATGGCTTGGCTTCCTCTGCTACTGAACACTGGGCTTGTTTTGTTCAACTTTCACCAAAAAAAAAAACCCCAAACCAAACAAACCCAAACCCGTAACAGAAACAGAGATGAAAGTTACAGGCAAAAAATAATTTGGAGACAATCAGAAATACAACTTACTTGCTTTTGACTTAAAATAAAAAGTCTAAGAGACTGTGAAGAAAGAACAGCTTTCGTTTTGTACCCAGTAGGTGTGCAAAACTTGCTTGCAAAACGGCTCGTGCTATAAGCAATCAGTGATCCAGCCTGCCCTATAATATTTTTTAAAGTGTGCTTATCTCAGCACCCTCTGCATTACATGGGATGCATGTGAATTTTTTCCTCTCCCATTTTGGCGTCAACAGGTAGGAGGCAGATTTTTCCTGATGCTAGGCACTAGTTAAAAAGAATTTAGCAGAGAACAGTGGGAATTTAGAACAACCCATATCAACAGATTAAAGAAGCAAATGTGATCAAATTTGTTTAATATTATTGTAACAGAAAAGTGTGACAGTAAGTTGACACACTGTAAAGATGTTTAGCTCCATACCAAGACGGAAAAAAAAAGCAAGTTCAAGAGAGGGAATGTGCACTATTACATTGAGATTTTAATTCTTCATTCTGTTTCCTTCTGTTAGCTCTCTTTTCTTTCCAGCTATGATTCAAGGCAGTGGGTTGGATTTTCATCTGCCACTTTGCATGTAAAACCATTGGAATTATTGGGGTTACATCCATATGTAAATGTGGAAAGAATGAGGCCCTTAGAGGTGAATGCTTTTAAAGGATTTAGAAGCAGTATTGCAAATAGCAATAGCGACTGGATGCAACAAGGAGAAGACTGTGGCATTTTTCTCTTTAACAAGAGAAAATCAGAATGGTTGAAGACGAGAAAGAGCCGAGAGATGTTGAGAAGAGTAACAGAAGAGAGTGGAAGTGACTGAAGAGGAGGGAAAAGCTGAAGAAAATAAACAGGAGTAGCCAAAGGGATGGGAGTGTATGTCTGGAACAATGTATTGCTGTAGGAGGAATAAAAAAAAGGTTAAGAGATGTTAAGGAAAAGAAAGTAACCAAAGAAATGGAAAGGTATCTGGAGTGACTGGGTGGTCTGAACACCGAATGAGAGTGTTCTGAGTAACTGTTCAGCTCAAAGCAAAAGTTCAAAGGCTGGAAGGAAAAAAAAAAAGTCGAGAGACCCAAGTTTATCCTGACATAAATTTAACTATGCAAAATGTGTATCAGATTTGTAGTTTCATTTTGCGAGGTGTTTCTGTAGCTGTACCCTTTCATTTAAAACCAAGGAGTGAACTGCTTAACAATGTGTTTTTCTAGTGATGTCACTTTGATGTGAACAAATGCTATAGGGGCAGAAAGGCAGAATGTTAAGGATCCATGTCAGTAATCCTTTGGTACATGCAGTATCCTAATGGGAGGTGGTGCTCCTAATGTTATATTTGCCAAACAAGATTGCGCTAATACTGCAGCAAGATAGTATTCTATGTGCCTGCTTTCATTTTAGGAATGGTGAACTCTATTCTGCAGCCTGAACCTTGACACGACTTTAAAACCTGGGAACAATGCAAGCTGTGTACTGTACATTATGTATTGTTCCCTAATGTTGAAATTGTACAACTGAAATAGTAATAAAAAATACTCTGAAAATCAAAACTAGTATTGTGCTTGTAAAATTCTGTTACATTGGCATAAGCTATTGTAAAAATCATAGAAAGCTTTGCTATTGTTTTCTAAATCCAGTCAGTATCCCTAGGGAACCTGTAGAGGCAAAACAAATATATTTCCTTGCAGTGGATAAAGATGTTGAGGTGTCAGTGCGAGAGTTCAACCTAGACAGAGTGCTAGTAAGGGTGACAGCCGACACTGTGCTGTGTGCGCTGCTAATGAGCTTCACAAGTTGATTTCTGTGCTTACGCCTTTCTCTTTACACAAATACCCAGTGGGATGAGGGCAGTGGAACTAGAGCGAAATGACAGCTTGCAGTCATTGACACTGCAAGAACTGGCTTTTATGCGCGTATATCAGCCTGAATGCCAGGTTAGCCCAATTCACTTTTTCTCAGGTATGCTCATGCAGTCTTTGTTGCCGCATATAAAATTTATTACTGCACATAATGTTGAGGTGTGACAGCACACTGTAGCTGTACCATTTAAGAGTAAAAATTAGGAAATTTGCCATTTATGCCAGTGTTGGGAGTTGGAAAGGGTGAGGGCATGAGGCAAGATTTCTCTTTATTTTTCAAAATTAAGAGTATCTTTCATCAACACTAGCTCTTTTAAGCTAGCAGAGCATGTTGTTTCCAGCATTTGATGTATTGAGTGGGATCTGTCTTACAAGTTTAAAGATACCGTGGTTGCTTGATTGGATAGATAGCTTAGTTTTGCCAGTCATTATTGTTCTTTCCACCAGAAGTTATTTCTAAGCTTCAGTAATACTGTACACCTGGATTATTCCACACCAGTTATTTCAAATGAGTTTCACTCCCTAGCACAAGAGGAAATACAGCAGGCTTGAGTTCCAGTACAATTCTGTCTGTTGGACAGGAGATTTTCTCTCCTTTTTATTTGCTTACCTCCTTTAAAATAAGGAATAATTGTAGTAAGTAGAGAAGAGCAAGAATTCTGGCTTCCTGCTTCACATGTGATTCAATTCTGCACCAATGACTCTGCTATAAAAAAGTATAGTGATTCATATATGCATTATTAGTGGATTGGGAGATGTCATTTATGTTGTGAAAAAAAACTTAACCAAGAAATAAAAAGTATTGTTTTCTAGAGCCAGCATGAAAAATCTTGTACTCAGCCCCATACCCCATATATGTGAAAAGAACTGCAGGTGAGGATCCAAGGGTTTACTCTTTTGAGGGGATCCTTTATTATTTTGTGACTGTAGATGTGTGTTACCTTGCCAAAGGTTGTGTTACCTTGCCAAAGGTTAGTAACATGTACAGTGAGAAGTGCTGATCTTCTTAAGAACCTGTTTTTCCCCTTGCTTCTAATGTTGTCAGATTTTTCAGAGCAGGCTACAGTTTCCATCTTCTGTATCAACTATTACCAGTTCAATTTTTTTTTTTTCCCCCCCTTAACTTTAGCCAAGATGGTTCTACAGTTTCCAGGAAAAATGCTAGGGACAGCATTTGTCTTGTCCATGTTTGTTCTTACAAAAAGACGGAAACAAACTTCACCCATCACAAAAAAACAGACAGATAAGCAAACTAGCAGGCTTTTCTATAAAGAGGTTCCTAACG